ATCTGGACAATGAAAAACAAACACATCCTGGAATCCTACAAAACAGTCAACAACATCTGTTGTCGACAGCAGCGAGCATTGGGAAGCCAAAAAAACTCGGAGTTCGTTACTCCCGGTCCAATTTTCAGTCGTTACCGGTGCAACAGATGGTATTGGTAAAGGATATGCATTTGAACTTGCAAGAAGCGGCTTCTCAATATTACTTATTTCTCGAACACAGTCCAGGCTCGATGAGGTCAAAAATGAAATTGAGCAGAAGACCGGTGTTCAGGTACTTTTTATTGGTCTTTTAACTCCTTGTATATGGGCGATACCATCCTCCAAACAGCAACGAATGATTCAAAGCGACAGTAATCCCCGAGCACAAATGCGATGATAATAGCCTCAGATATAACCACAAGCACTACAATAAAAATTACTAAGCGGCGTATGTTCATTATCGACTTGCAATAATTCAAAACATGGTACTTCACGAACTTGAAGTTCTAAATGTGTACGAGCGTTTTTTAACTGACAGTTTCTTTGAGACTGACACTGTTTATTTGCAATCTAGCAGTAAGCATGCTGACACTTAGCATCGCCTTCGTTTTCAGTGCTTTAATTTTCAGACCCTTTTCATTTCCCTAGCGTTTATGCCACGATTCTGTAGCGTCTTATTCATATGTTTGATTATAATGAATAAGTTTGTTATTTCAAGTACTAAGGTATCTTGTTCATAAAATTGTCTTTGTTTAAAGTGCTAAAAGGCGAATAGAGATAGATAGCAGAGCTTGTTTTTATGCATTTTTACATATATGTAAATGCAAAAGCGCATATTGATAAGAAGCTGTGTGTGTGTGTCTGTGTCTGTGTCTGTGTGTATGTGTGTGTGCTCGCACTTTTGTCACCCATTTTTAACTCGAGAACCAGAAAAACTGGAGGGCTAAAACTTCGGGAGTATGTGCATCTCTCCGCGTGCGCCTGGGTCCCACGTACAGATGCCTTGAAAAAACATGTAAATTTTTTGGCGGGAAAGCAATTTCGTGAACCGAAGGAGATAGCGGGTTGAAACTTTGCAGGGATATTCTATGTGGACGCATGAGCTAAAGAATTCAAATTCAACTCCTAGCTGTGCGTGGTTCTCACGGACCGTCATGTGAATGTTTTGGCTGGGAAGCTACTAACTCGGGGACTAGAACAACTGGGACAGTGAAATTTTTGGGGGAACATTTCCTGTCCAAGTAACTTATAGATTTCAAATTCAGCCTCCAAGTATGCTTGGTTCTGGTGTACCGGCACTTAGATTTTTTTTTTTTGTGAGGAAATTGCTCATTGAAAGCTAGATCATTTTCAAGGAGCTGCCGCTAAACAGAAATTGCCCACGTTCCTTTGTGCAAAATTTACGATAATTTAAGGTAGTGAGCGCACTAGGTAGGTGTAAAACAACAACCATTCATGCAGCTAACGACCTATTCAAATTTGGTGCAAAAACGCATGATCGCACCGGTAAGCTTGGTGCGTTCCAGCCTCAGTTGTTACTGATTATTTTGAGGATTCACTCAAATACGGCCGTTCTTGAGTGAATCGTCCTATATTTTTTCTTTCAAAAAGGGCGGCGGACTGAATTAGTCTGACATTCCAAATGTATTTTAAACAAATGAGCAGTATTTTAAGTGAAACTTTGAACCTGGTGAAGGACTGAAAAGAAATCTATTTTTTATTTGTTCGATTCCATTTCAATTTCGCGACGCATTTTTATGTGTTTGCAGTAGTGTTTGTAGCACCAGCATTGCAGAATACTAATCATATTTAGCACATTTTATACATGTGTGTGTCCTACTCGATAAAGGTATATGTATGCGATGCGGTTGCCGTAAGCATGAGGGCTGCAAACTCATGAATTCAAAATCACAGTTGTTGGGATGTATGAATTCAATGGCGCTGCTACTGACCTAGAAATGTCCAGCAGTTTTGTGGAGCGTTATAAATATAGTAATTCAGCACTGTGAAGCTCAGAATAATGATTCAGTTTTTTCAGGTACGCACAATTGTTTTTGATTTTTCAAATCCGGATCTCGAAAATTATGAGCGTCTA